AATTATACAACTTTTAACATGTAGGTTACAACTTTTTAACACGTAGAGAGCCTCGATGAAATTTGATTGCGACATCGCGGCTGTTTTTCATGCTTTTAGTAAATGAATATAAAAATAATTTTATATTTAGATTGATTGTTGCGATTGTGTAAATTGTTTTATATTTTAACGCTATTATTCGTCATTTGTATTTTTTGTCCTGTATGTCTCTCACCAATGTGATTGCTCGAAGTAAATGTTTTTAAATATTTTATCGCGCGTGCGGTCGACACATACATGTGACGCAATGTGCGTTAATACAACTTTGCTCTCTGTTATCATTTAATTACCATCATCATTTACATCGCGCTTTTATTCGAAATAAAAAATTATAAAGCATCGCGTATACGAGAGATATCAAACTTGGCGCAAAATAATTTCAGGTCGTTAAGCGGCAGACAAAATAAATTCTGTTTTCGTTTCCGTGTCGTCCGTGTTTGTTCAGTTGGCGGAAATGTATCGAAAATAATTAAGCGTTCATCAAATCGCGGTCGCGACACCAAATGTCGCGTATACAACATAGTGACAAATCCTTACAAATAAATACGTAATTACGCAGGCGAGCGTAATAAATAAATTTACTCACTCGAGCTGTGTATCGATGCTGGCAATATCCATTGGTTGTTCCATCGGTGTCGATAACTGTCGATTCGAAAAGGCAGGCCAGATCAATCTCGTCCAGGATGCTCACTCACGCGCGCATCGATATCGGAAAAACGCGTCTAATTACGAATCGCGCGACGCTTCACATTCGTCCGGACACTCCCGTCACTCGCGTACAAACTCGCCATTTATTTTCAAGACATGCGATGGCGTTCACTCCGCGAATCGAACCGGATCCTGGCGCGAACCGACGCGAATCGGCGCGCAAACGCGCCATGTTGATGACGTCACTAACACTCTGCGACTCCAATATTCGGTAATAGCGATAAGAGCAACTAATTACTGCTCTCGCACTTCGATCGACCGACACTTTACTCGGCACTCCCGATACGCTGTTAATTAGGTGCGCGACACATTTCGAATAGGCGAACGATGCGAAGCGCGCGACCGAAGTGCACGTCCGAAATGCGCAGGAAGTGAGACGAGAAACGCCGACGGTGCAAACGGGTGTTTCGCACGAATTATAACGACGACGGGCGGTCAATCGCACCTGACTACCCGTACGTGATTGTCCGTATCCTCGGCACTCTGTTCACGGCTCGCGTACAGCCCCGATTCACCTCTGACGAATGTAAAGTACGTCAAATACGGACGAATTTTCAAACGTATCCGAACACGTCCGAACACGTCCGAACGCGACGCGTCGCGGAGCAAACTGAACCGGAGCGGCGCGGCAGTCGCGCGCGCGCATGCGCGAAGTTGCGGCGCGGGCCGTGCATACATGGCGAGTATATAAACAATTTTTTTATCGTAACAAGTTCTTCCCTTACACACTTCCCTTGCTATAAATAATCGATATTAAAAATAGCAATTACATACGAGATGTTTCTTTCACGCAAATTCTTTTTAATACGATATAATTGCAGCATTGAAAAAAAATATCTCATATGCAAATTTAAATTTTATATATATATTATATATATATATATATATATATATATATATATAGTGTGTAAGAGAGAGATGGGTATATTTCTCGCTTCTTTCGCGACGATTCCGTCGACCCTCTTCTTACTTTTCTCACCTTTTGCCTACTGTCTCCGTGAAAACGGTCCCTTTATTTTGTTCGTTCTCTTTCCTCGCCAGTACGCAGTCGCAAAGTTAGACGAAACTCGTTATCGGATAGAACGGGCGATTACCGCCTCGTCTCGAGTTGGTGCTCGACTTTTAACGCGATTATACATCGCTGAAACGCTAAATTGCACGACGCAACGAGAGTTAACGCCCGCGAAAACTATAAGTTCGAGCGATGCGCTTCGGGGAAGAGCGGCGAAAAATATCTGATAAAACGAATCGCGAAAAAAGATATTTCGCCATTTAGCATATCGCGAACATGATACTGCGAGGAATTTTTCAATAAATAAGCAATATGGAAGAAAGATTGCTTACAACTTGAAATCTTTCCTTTTAAAATTTTACATTTTAATATTACGCATCTTAAAGATCAACGAGAGGAACCGCATATACTTTTTCTACATTCGACAAATAACGCAAAAAGAATCGGCAGCGAATAAGGAACGTAGCGAGGCTAATATAAAAAGCAAACACCCCGAAAAATCTCTCGTGTTTCATAAAACTGTTCTCACGTGTACTCCGCGTACTTTATACGCGGCTCCGTGCCCGCAAATAGACCGAAGAAAAGTTAAAGGCAGAAACGAGAGAAGTAAACGCGGAAGCCCGATAGATCGAGCCAATCGTTCACCTGCTCAACCAATCGCGCACCTGTATTCGCTCTCCGCGAAGCTAAACCAATCGGGCCGTACGTATCGTTGTTTGGCCAGTTTACGAGCTCCACGGATATCGATTACCGATCGCTTCGGCGGCTATCGCTTCCTCCTAATACTGAAAAATGGACCAAAGCCTTTGCGCGAGAGATCACCTGCGAAAGAGAGCGCGAAGCTGCTATTGCCGTGGAATTCTCTCGACGCACTCGATGGAGGACCTCGCGAAGAATGCTCAAAGTTTCCGCCTGCTTCCGGTTCGCCGGCTTTCGCTGATGGCTGCAATTAGACCTCTGGCTATCCTTTTATAGCACACACGCGCGCAAACCGCTCGAAAAGGTCGACCTTCGCTACTAGAAGAGAGTAGACTATAAAAAGTATAGAGAATATCCTTCCTAATTGAAAGCGACCTTAAATTTTCGTGAACTCAATGAATTAAAAGTAGAAGAAGTAAAACGAATGTCCGCTCGTCCGTCTCTCTTATTCTTTCACGTACGAAAAGCTTTTAGATTAACATTATATTCTGTATAGTATAACAGGTGCACAAACGGAAATAATATAACGAACAAATTTTTATATCAAATACATTCCGCTGTAGTCAATTGTTAAAGTTTTAATTGCTCCGTTAAAATTTCTCGAAAAATTTATTACATTGATCCGACATAAAAGTAATTATTTTTAATTATTTTTAATTCTATCACTTGAAAAAATGCTATAACTGTGATAACTATATTAATTTTACTCTTCAAAAGTTATTACTATTCTTATTTTTATACGAAATGTTTATTCAACTGCTAATTGTGTATGTTATCTAATTCTCTTCAATTAAAAAATAAATAAATTTCTAGACTTCTTGCTAAACTTAAATAAAAATATAACTATACTCGATTCTTTTACATATTAATATAAATATTTTTTACTAAAAAGGAATATTATAATAATTTCGAGAAACCTTATCATTTAAATAAATTTAAATAACGATACATTTAATCGACGAAATCTCCATAATTTTACCTACAAATTTTCTCTTTACGTTACACTTTCTTTGAAGGAATTGTTATAACGAATATCCTATTTCTATGTAGCAAAACATTGAGAGAAGTATATTGTCTTATCGAACAGAGAACAGTTACAAAGTATTCAAGTCTCTATCTCACGATAATTATTTAACTGATTCTAAGAGTAATTCCACTTAAGATTCGCGCGTTACAAAGATCTGTTTATATTCAAAATATCGCGGTAACTCTTCGTAGAACTATTCTTGATTCGCTTATTGCTTATATTAATATCACAAATGCAAAGACGAAAAAGTTCTCATAGAGAAATGACTGTACGTGGAATACAAGAAAGACGCTTCTCGTTAGCTCATTACATGAATGAATTTGCATGCGGTATCGCGAGGATAATGATCCTGTCATTAGAGGCGCGCCAATAAGGCTCACGCGAACCGATTCCGATATTACAACAACGCTATTCATGAATTTCACGTAGGCACAAATGTTATTCCGATAGATAATGCATCTTCATACTTCATACATACATGCATACATATTCCCGCGCGCGCGACCGCTTCCGATGTAATGACGCCGACATCGCGTACGTTACAGGAATCGAGGTGCCTTCGAACTCGGTGTCGATATTCGAATGATACGCCCGTTGAATATTCATGCGTCAAATTTAATAGATGGCGTACGTCCTTATTCCTATCACTCGTCGTGCGAATAAGTCAACACACTCGAACGTTATGGGATTACCATCTGAATATGCGAATATTAGATTCTCCGGATACAGGCGGAGCTTCCTGAAAAGTAGAAAAGTATTAGACTCTCATTCTGTGGGGTGTATTTGCGAAATCCGTGGCATGTGTAAAGCAATATTTTAAATCTGATTAGGACGTACCAATAATGCACGCTGTTTCAAGAATTATTATTTGCACGATAAATTATACCTGAAATACACAGATGAAATGTTTATTTTCAATTTCATCAATTTTTATCGAATATCTTACGTTTTATGATAAAAACAACAAATTTTTATAACAAATGATACTCGATGCTCAATAATATTACCGAATAAGTAAATGCACTGCACATTTGACGTTACAAATTAAATAATCGACATGAAGAAGCTTTGTGTCCGTTGATGAATCGAACGAAACGATTGTGACGTCAACAAACACCCAAGAAGAATGCGTTCGGATATCCTATTCCTATAAAGTAAAGTAGCGTTTAATTGACCAATCATGATAAGAGGAGTAAACATTTCTTTGTTCTGATTGGTCAACGCAATACTACTCTTACCACACGAGTGGATTTCCGAACTCATCTGAAGTAATAATTCGACTGACGTAGTAGTGACGTTTTGACGCGGCTAATTCAAATTTGTAAACAAATTATTCTGGTATTTTGCTAATTTTTTTTGTCGGTAATGAATTAGTACGATAAAGATACACACGTAAGAAGTAAATAAAAATATAATAAAAATAAGAGAAATTCTGTCATTATGCTTATATTATTAAAAAATTGTGGTTTCTTTATATCTCTAAAAGTCAATACGAATCGTAGGTTTATTATTGGTTATGTCGCCCTGTTGTAATGTGTCAAAAGCATATCTGAAATCAGTAAAATGGAAATAGAATTAATTGAATTGAAGGATATAAAAGCTGTACCAGACATAATACACATTTACCCACAACGAGTGAAATCTGGGTGTACGCCACTCGTTATTGACAATGGTAATTTATATTATATCTGGTATATATTAATTATATTCCATCTGATAAATTGACACTATTGATACTATTCTTCGCATTAGGATCCTATAACTGCAGAGTCGGTTGGGCTACGGAAAAGGAACCGCAATTAATATTCAAGAATCTCATTGCAAAACCGCGAAAGGAACGTGGCAAGAAAGATGGGGAACCTCAAGTAGGAAACGACATAGCAAACATTGAAGCTGTTCGATTTCAACTGAAAACTCAATTTGACCGAAATATAGTAACACATTTTGAGGCTCAAGAACAGATATTTGATTACACATTTACACATATGGGTATAGACACGGAAGGCAGTGTAGATCATCCAATTATTTTAACAGAGGCATTCCTCAATCCCAACTATTCTCGGAACTGTAAGAAAATAATTATTTATATATTATACAATTTTCATAATGTACATAATAATTTAATATATCCGTGTATTTCAGTGATGGCAGAATTATTATTTGAATGTTACAATGTACCATCAATAGCATATGGTATCGATTGCTTATTTTCATATCAGCACAATAACTGCCCGTCTGATGGACTAATAGTTAGTATAGGATATCATACAACCCACATAATACCGATACTAGATGGAAAAGCAGATGCTACAAATGCAAGAAGAATCAATCTTGGTGGATATCACATCACATCATATATGCATAGACTCCTTCAATTAAAATATCCTGTTCATGTCAATGCAATAACACCTAGTCGTGCAGAGGTACATATTATATATTAAAATATGTTTTATATATATATATATATATATATATATATATAATAAATATAATAAATTATTTTTATATATTCTAAACGTATTTATTATAATAGTAATAATAATAATAATTATTTATTTTATAATCTGTAGGAATTGATACATGAACATTCGATGATTGCTTTAAGTTATCAGAAAGAATTATCTAAATGGGCAGATGTAGATTATTATGATACACATGTTTTAAGAGTACAATTGCCATATATCGCCCCTACTACTACTCCTGGACTAACACTTGAACAACAAAAAGAAAGAAAACGAGAATTAGCACGAAGACTGATGGAAATTAATGCAAGAAAGAGAGAAGAAAGGGTTTGTATATTTTGTTTTATTTATACATATCTATTATAGTATTATTATTATTATTATTATATAACTTAAAGTTTAATTTAACATTCCTTATTTTTACAGTTGGCAGAAGATGAAGAACAACTTAACCAATTGTTAGCAGTCCAAGACCTTTTAGAAGAAGGTGAAATTGATGAATTTGATCAAGCACTAAAGACCTATTCTCTTGCAAATGAAGCTGATTTGATAAAAATGATCAACAATCTACAAGCAAAAGTAGAGAGAACCAGACAGAAAATTGTCGCTGCTAATTCACAAGAAGAAAATATAGTGATAGAGGAAAAACCTAAAATTAAGTCGAGTCTTCAACCTAAGGATCAACAAGATTTTGATGAGTGGATTGCTGGAGTTAGAAAGAAAAGGTGATTTTTTTTTATATGTACATTGCATTAATATTTTACATTGTATACATATTTACTGATTTAAATTTATTGATTTTATAGTTGCTGTATATATATATATATATATATATATATATATATATATATATATATATATATCTGTGTATGTGTGTGTGTGTGTGTATTTATATTTATTGATTAATAGATATTACTAAATCTTTATTTCTTATAGACAGGAAATATTAGATAAACGTATGGCAAAGAGACAGCGTAGACAAGATATGGCAAAACGAAGAACAGCTGCTGCACAAGAGAGAATGCGCATAATTAGTCAGTTGGCAAAAAAAGAAAAGCGTGATGATGATTTTGGTATGCGAGATGAAGATTGGGATGTATATAAAGTTATAAACAAGGTATATATTTATTTTTAAATGCCAAGTTATACTGGTTGATATTTTTTTGATATTTTTGGTTTGATATTTTTGTTACAAAATATTCCTTCGTAGGAAGGTGGCGATTCTGATTCAGAACTGGAGCAAGAGAAATTGTTGGAATTGGAGGATGTTTTACGTCATCATGATCCAGAATTTGATAGCGCCGGTTCCAGCGTTCCCATGGTTCCTGGAGAAACTCACCAACTTCACGTAGGCGTAGAGCGTCTACGAGCACCAGAATTATTATTTCAGCCATCCATGATTGGTTCTGTAGAAGCTGGAATTGCTGAGACAATCGAATTTGTTTTAAAACAGTTTCCTCCTGAAGAACAAACGCGTCTTGTGAGTAACGTATTTCTCACTGGTGGACCAACAGCTTTCCCGGGATTATTGGAGAGATTGAAACGTGAGCTACGCGAAATAAGACCTTTCGGATCAAATTTTCAAGTCAACATTGCAAAAAATACCAGCTTGGATGCTTGGTATGGTGCAAGAGATTTCGGTTTAAATGGTAATCTTCCTGAATATTTAGTTAGTCGTAAAGAATACGAAGAGAAAGGTGGAGAATATTTCAAAGAACACTTGACAAGTAATACTTACACTCGATCGCCCGATCCTTTACCAATGATACAAGTACCTGTAACATCGGAGCAGGTAATTGTAGAGGATGCTGTAGTTGATGTGGAAATTGAATAAAAGATATTTATAATTTTATGATTTTTGAATATTGATAATAAATCACATGTAATTAAATAATATAAACGAAATGTTTTCAGTACTTTTATCTCGTCAGGCAGGTTTTATCAAATAAAGTTTTTATATGAAATATAATTTAATCATGATATAAAAATGAGAGATTTTATTATTGAATGGATATTAGCAAAAGATACGACCAGCTCTTGTTCATGGATACCTACTTTATTACACAAGTATTTCCGTTTGTTCATTTTATTACGAACAAACTACATTGTAGTCTGTTTGCTGATCACAATATACAGTTCCCAAATATCGCATTTCGCCATTCAACACAATTACGCGGGATACGTTTTATACGTTTTACTTTTCTTATTTTTCGAGGACAATCGACATCGGCTTCTGGGCGTTCTTCGTGTAGCCTAAAAAATTATGAAAGTGATCCCTCACCTTAGCGATAAAATTGACTTTACAGCAACCTCAGTTACAAATCTCCAATCTTAGTCTTAAGCGACTTAAACTAACATCACAATATAATACACACTGAAATCATCGAGGCCCCATAAGTAGCTACAACTAACACTACTTGCGCATCAATAAAGGAACCTATATCGCGATGTAACGCTTTAATTTTCGCTCGAGTTTAATCAAAACAAAGAAAGAGAGATTTGTAGATAAATGATAATCACAAATTCTAGATCACAGGTGCACAGCATTCTTGTTCGTAGTATATAGTTGATCAAGACTAAAAAAACTCCTCGTTTTATGTTATATGCATTATGTACTCTCAACCTATATCAAATAACAGCTATTACAAATGTGATGTATAATGTTCTTTACAGAATCTTTTGTATATAAAATACATAATTCATCTATCTGTAGATAACATGCTGAAACAAATAAGCTAAGATTCGCATAAATATATATTTTGTTAAAACAGTATAAATCTAATATTACAAAAGCATACAATACAAATCGACGATGCAACATTTGCAAACACAAAATTGTAAAGCTCATTACAAAATTAATATAATCCTTAAACAATATTGTTCGATATCAGATAATGAAATTAAAATTTAATGAAATATATCTACATAATAAAAAAAATCTATATTGTTTTATATTGTATTTATCGCGCATAATCATGTAATGAGCTAAACATCAGATTTGCAGGCATATTTTGTTAATCAGGCTCACCGATGAATTATATATATCTTGATACAGTGCGCACAAAACTTAATTTAAATATTCTTTACAACTATCACAGTTTGAGGTCGCTGTAAATCAATATCTCGCCTGTAATGATACACTATATCTTATGAAATTTTCATTCACAGAGAGAATGGAAGGGTAAATAGGTGTGGAGGACACTTGGGTAGTTTTGTTTACGATAAGATTGAGGTAGAATCCAATCTGCAAATAAATACAACTTTTGATCCGCATATGCTATAAGTGAGGGGCTACTTCCGTCAACAATAGTATAACATTAATTAAAAGTATATGTAACATTAAAATAATGCCACGACGACGCTGATGACAATGATAACAATAATCATAAGGATGGTAATAGTAAGAATGATGATGATAATAATAATTATGACAGTAAAATAATAATAATAATTAGTACAACAACGCAATTAATGTTTTTTCCGCAATATAATGGCTGTATGCATTTATATATACATATACATTTATGTATATCGTTCATATGACGGGATAAAGATTGACAACTATGTACATTATATGCTTGTCTTAGTTGTACCATCTTTATGTTATACGCACCTATATCCTTTGCATTAATTATATGACAATAATAATAATAATAATAATAATCAGAATATAATCAGAATAATTACAATAATATAATAATCGTAATTAGTATCGTTCTTTTACTCATAAAATATTCTATATATAACATGTACCTGTAATAATAACTATGCAATATGTACGCAAAGAGGATGTGTTCAGATAGGATATGTCGATAAAAACTATGGTATACGAAGCGTCAACTTTTTATTTTCTCTGCTATCGTTTATCTTGTTTCTTTTTTTTAATCGTTTTTCGCAAAATGACTATTACAAAAGTGCATTACTCGCGCATTTTTCTTATATTTTATATATATATATATATATATATATATACGTACATACATAAATCGGCGTAAACCTACCTATTTTTTTCATTGTCGTTTATATTAGTTCGGTAGCGTTAATTATCTTTCAATTATATATTTTATTCTTTCTTAACGGAGCGCTACGATAATCCCCTTGTTTACATCATACATACATACATACATACATACATACGTACGTACATACATACACACTGCGGGTGTACATAACATGTGACATGGTACTTTCTACGCTTTCGACGGTATATATATCTTCTTATCGTCGTATCGTATCATAATTTTGTTCCTCCTGTGATTTTAAAACACGATGTGGCTGATGCGGGTATATATCCGCGGTTATTAGCAACCCTCTTAATCCTCCTTATTCATCAGGAATTCGACGACACGCAATTCCGGACTTGCTTTCGTTTTAATCAAAGCTTTAGGCACCGTTCAAAACTTTGACTTTAGAGAATTTATTATTAGCGATAGAAGAGCTTACGCTTGTACTTACGGCCTGGTGACTTTTAGCACCCCCGATAGACCAGATTTCTTTAAAACATTATATAACCCTTCACAGCTCGCGTAAGAAAGAATTAATATAATAGATAATATGTGTATGAAAGAGTGAAGCGTATATAGTTAGGAAGGAAATAATTGTCAATGAGAAAGTAATTAAAAGCAAGAAAAAACATGAAAATAAATATTAACAATCTTAATATTGCCATATGACAGTTTGAAAACTCTTTTGCCGATTTTTTTATAATTAATAAATAATTACATTTCATTTCCAAACTTAATATGTACGTATAACAAGACTAGTATCATATATGTGTGCCGATTATTATTACCTTGCAATCTTGTTTAAAACGTGACTGTAGAATCATTTTGAATTATATGCAAGATTCCATAAATACATATCGCGAAAAACGTCTTTACATTATGACACTATCCCCTCTGTGTGCATCACTATTACAGAAGTGTGATGATAAGCTGTAAAGAGTGAATGCAAAGAGCCCGAGACGCATTCTCGTCGTCGTTGCAAAAAAATATCGTTGGACGAGGAAGACCGTTAATAATATATGTATGTACATGTGCAGATTTCTCGTACATGTGAAAAATGTGTTAAATCTCTCTCGTCGGTTTTGCTACAAAAATATCAATATATTTCAAATAAAGCGATAAATACACCGTTTAACGCGCCGGTGAATGTGTTCCTTTCTCTGTTTATCTCGTCTATATCTCTTTTGGATAGATTATTTCTATATATGTTTTAAAAATCCTACATGATGACGTTTGTCTCCCCGAACAAGTGTGGTTGTTTAATCCCGAAGTGCCTCCGTTAATTATTACACCCCTTCCAGAGTGATTCGCTCGATACACACGGTACTCTTTGTACATTTGTTATACACAATCGTATTAAATCTAGCTTGACGCGTGAATCAAGCAAATCGCCCAAGTCGAAACGACGATTCGCCTCGATATCGGAAAAAGCGATGCGCGTCGCTTCGGCAATAATTAATCCTTAGAGATAAAAGTGGAGCGCTTATTGTCGAAGCGGTCGCGCAACCTCCACACCGCCAAGGCGAAGGAATATTTTTTATTGCTGTAATTCAAAATATGGTCAATTAACATATTTTTCCCTCGTACAGAGAAATCCCTGTCGAACCCCCTCCCCCTCTCCCTCTCTCCCGTTCACTCGCCCGCGGAAAAATTGCTTTGAGAATCATTGCCCTGATAAAATGTAAAATTTCTCTACGTGTTTGCGGTCTACACCTCCGTATTCATTCCAAACTAAAGCCAGTACTAGAAGTGCGTGTCTCTTTTTTTTTAAATGTATATATATATGTGTGTATATATATATATATATCTATATGTATATATATATCTTCCACACCGTGGATTCCGCGGCACCAAAAATTCCTACACTACTTTATTACGCAGGCCTCTATAAGACTTACGGTAGCACGGTAAACCTCTATAAAAATAAGAGCTATCCTACGTAAACGTATTACAAAAATAAATGGCATTGTACTCTGCTAAAGAAGCAAAATGGTACAGGCGCAATGTCGAGCGACGCGAGCATCGTCAATTTAATTTCCCCTCCCCCCTCCCCTGCTTCATCAAGTTTCCCATCTTCGTTTTAGGTGTCGTACCTTCGTTACGGTCGAATCGCTAAATCGATTGCTAAATTCGAAAGCTCGAATTCTTTTTTATTTACCCCTCCTCTTAGACGAGACCTTCCCTCGATCGACCCCCAACCAAAAGTCAGGTTTAATTACATCACGTGCTATTCGTGCCAGGCGACGCGAGGGTATAAAACGTACGAGCCAGGGCTGTACTTAACCGGGGCTATCACAAGTACGAAGTCGATCACACGGCACGATAGAACATTTGATAAAAGTAGTCGGACCAGGAGCCAGGTTTTGTAGTGTTGGGAATGAAACTTAGTGCCCTCCGATAAAACGTTGCCACTTTGCTCACGATATTGTTCATTGAAACGAGAAACACTCTTGAATTTAATTTCATCACTCTCGTCCCCGGAATTATCCAATCGTCATTAAATATCAATTATTCAAATGGTCCCCCTCCCCATATTTTTCTTCAAAATTTTTATATCTATTGCACGTCAGGCCCTATCTCAATATTTCCCTCTACAATGAATAATACGTTTTAGAAAGTGGTAATATTTCCTGGGATGACCTTGTATATATTTCTGTAGGAGAGAGACTTAGTAAGGATGCCACCACCAATAGTTCCACACAGTTCGATCATTTAAATTTGCTAATAGAATACATCGGGCAGAGCTATTCGCGAAATTGTATGAAAATGTTAGAGATGCGTATCGTATTCTTTTTTTGATATGGCGATTACATATTTGACATGATAATTAATTAACTTGACAAACTATCTAACATTGACGAGTATAGGGTGTATTTTAAGATTACTTCACGTCTCTATAACAAATTGAATAATTTATATCAGTGTATGTGTACTCAAACAATTGAGAACGAAAAATCATACAATCTCACAAGTACAATGAGAAATAAATGTAATTTTTCAAATTCTATTCACCTTAATTATATTTCGTTTCTTTTTTCCTCCGTGTAAATATGGATTAATTTTTATACTCTAATATAAAAAGAGCAGAAATGTAACTAAAACGAACTTATGCAAGAGAGAACTTTGACATAATAGAGAAACAAAGAAATAATACAACATATTTGATATATTCATAATCGTACAAATATTCGATTATAATTACACAATCGATACTTATGATTATATTCTTTTCTTCTGTTAATTGAATTCGCTGATCCTAGGAATACTTTTTTGATCATAATAGATTTTTCGTTCTTAATTTAGTGCAATAAAAATATGATTAAAAATTCATTCATTTCCTAATATAAAACACTTCATGAGTATTATTGTAACAAGAATTTTAAGAAATCTGATAAAATTCAATTTTATGTGAAATATAACACAAAATAGAAGTGTGTATGTATAAATCTACAGAAAAATAATATATTAAAAAATATACAACGAACGTAAATCTCTATACGTAAAAATCTTATATTTTATTTTTTATTTATTCTTTATTTCGTAAAATTATTAAAATATAGAACGTATCATTATATAAGTTACGGCACGGTATAAACAAATATGTATAATATATAGTATATTATTAGAAAATGTATTGAAATATTATGTGTATTGAAGTATTCCCTAGAGCAGTGTTTAAATGTTTCTTTTTTCTCGGTTTTTTTAAACACAATTTTAAAAAATTATATTCGCAGATTTTAAACATAATTTAATGCCAACACATGAATCGAGAACATCAAAAAGAATCCTTTACATATATTTTAATTCTCACGCATCATGATAAAAAGCGTATCCTCGTTACACGACTGTCTGGAATCTTATAATTCATAATGTGACAATTATTTAATTTAACACTGAGTGATTTTTTGTTATTTAATGTGCTTTACGACTGATAGCTATTAATCGCTGATTCGTATTCGAGCGCAAGAGAGCAGCATCAATAAAAGTTATATATATATATATATATATATATATATATATATATATATATATATATCAATCTACATACAGGAAGAGTTTGGCGAGATACTTCAACAAATTTTTCACTACAGTGAGAAGAAAAGATTAAAGCAAACAAAAACTACACCATGATATTTGCATTGGATAATCTTTAACACGTATATAATTTTTGAAATTGCAACGCATTATGCTATCTGGAAAAATTAAAATAAATTTCACATCAAAACAATCTTTTCGATAATGTTTTTTAATGAAAACTTTATATAATAAAAATTGAAAAATTTATAGCTTTATAGTAAAATGATTGAAAACGACTTATTTATC